TTTAATAACTTAGCGTTTAGAGGGATATGTGTGGCCTTGAATGTCTAGATTGTGAAAGCAAAGAGAGGAAGTAATGAGCTATGGGTCCACCTTAAGGTTGCAGCACAGAGGCAAATCCATCTTCACAACACAGACATGGCCTCTCTCAGAATGAGTCCTCTTGTGAACGGTGAGTGAAGAGTCACACCTGGACGCCTTCTACATTCATTGTACTAATAGGAGGTTCCCTCCAGTGTGTCCTCACCTGTGCCTTATAAGGATGAGTACTTGTGATGGCTTTCACATCTTTTTCTATGCTGTGCAGATATACAGTTCCTGACCTGATTGTTTTAAACTGAATTAAGTGACTTATGCTAGTAGTCTCAATTTAAGTGACTATTTTTCCAGAGCTTCTTATATAACATTTTTAAAAAGTAATTTTGAAAAATTAAATTACAGCCCTGGCCACATGGCTCAGTTGGTTGGATCATCATTCTGTGAACCAAAAAGTTGTTGGTTCGATTTCTGGTCAGGGCACACAAACCTAGGTTGCAGGTTTGATCCCTCATTGGGGCATTTATGGGAAGCAACCGGTCAGTGTTTCTCTCTCACATGGATGTTTCTTTCTCTCTTTCCCTTTCCCTCTCTGACATCAGTCAGCAGCGGCAGTGGGGTCCACAGGAAGCATCTGTTGTGATTCTTCCTCCCTCCCAAGCACAAATAACAGATGGAGGGCCAATGTAGACTCCAGCTAGCTTGGAAGCACCAGATCATAAAGAGAACTGAGCCTGTGAGGATTTGCTAGGAAACTCTTGACTGCAGGAACTCTGGTGGATGAGTCACATTGTTCCTTATGGAAAAGATAAGAACTTTTTCAGTTGTCATCTTGGCTACTGGCTATTTCTTGTATATTTTGGTAAAATGTCACATAAAGATATTATGTGCTGTTATTATCAAAAGAATTCTATACAGTGAAAACAAATATGCTCCACAGAGTCAGCCTATTGTGTGCCTCTAATGTTACAAATCCAAATTTCTGCATCTAGTGCTTTGTTAACACAGCTTTGAATTTCACTGTTCATATTCAATACAATAGAAAATGCCAAAAAAAAACCCCTGAAATGTGATGTCATTTCTCTTCGTCATGAGTGAACCTGTTTGAATTCGGCATCGTCTTTCCTTCAAAAAGTGGAATTCATTATTTTACCTTATTTTTTTAAACGAATAAATCTTATCTTATGGAACAACAAAATCATAATAAAAGAAAATCAATCAACAAAAATTTTTTAAAATAAATTATATTTCCAATCCTCAAATAAGGATGTTTATGGAAGGGGAGAAAACTGAGTAGGTTGTGGGCTAGTAACATTCTTTTATTCATGTTAAATTTCATAGTTTGATTATAGAGAAAAAGGGTCTGCTGGGACAGAATTCTTCATGAGCAGTTCACATTCCCACATGTCTTACTGTGTTCTGGACTGTGTCTTCAAGGATGTTCATATAGCAAACATCCTCACAGCAGAGGGCAGGTTTGTTTGCTGTTCAGTGTAATGATGCCCCCTCTAGGGCAAAGATCAGGCAGGTTTGTTTGCAGCACCTTAGAAAGGCCTGGGTTCCTCAGCTGTGACACAAACCCCCTGCATGTGGAGCAGCCACTAAAGTCACTTCACATCACCCCTGTGGGACTTGGGAGGCAAAGGAAACTGACAGGAACCAGAAGCTAATGTTTCCTGCTGTAAACATGCAATGTTTCCAATAAAGTCCTTGGTCTCTGACCCAGACATCTTTGTTCGTCTAGTGTCTTTGGTCAACATCCATGAAATGTTACCTTAAAAGTAGGGGAAAATCTCAGATCTTCCAGTTCCTGACAATGGCTTTGTTCTCAGGATAAATGCTAAAGAAGGATGCTGAATACTAAAGGCAGTGAGAGAAACACTAAAGATGTCACATATCTGTAATGGCCATTATAAAAGAAAGTTATACACAAGCAAAGAAAGATATAAAACTGTCAAAAATATTGACAACCAGTGAAACCAGATGAAGTCATGGGATTTGGCCCCCAACTAATTTTTATACAACTAGCATATTCTATTTTTTTAAGATTTTATTTATTTTTAGAGAGAGGGGAAGAGAGGATAAAAGAAAGGGAAACATTGATGTATGAGACAAACATCGATTGGTTGCCTCTCACACACCCCCACTCAGCCACAACCCAAACATGTGCCCTGGGATCCAACTGATGAATTTTCCATTTGTGGAACAATATCCAACCCAGCGAGCCACAGCAGTCAGGGCAAGACTAGCGTATTCTTGAAACGATAAAAAAAGGACAGCACAAGGAGGGGGAAATTGCAGGCCAATCTCACTCAAAGATGCAAAAATCCTACCATATTAGCAAACTAGGAGCAATGATATATAATAGATACGTGATGGCCAAGTTATTCAGGAATGCAAGGCTAATTTCACAGTGGACAGTCCATGGAAGTAACTTATCACACAAACATTTTAAAGAATAAAAGTTACATGTATTCATTCATTTGTTCATTCAACAAATACATATTGAGTGCCTGAGATTTTTTTACCCTTGTTCTTCTGGTTTTGAACTATCCCAGTGAACAAACATTATCATTTCAGGATATGCAGAACAAACATTTGATAAAACTCAACATCTATTCACGAGAAAGAACACTAATACCCTAGACAAAGAAGGGAATCTTCTTGTCCCAATACGTTGTCTACAAAAACATTACAGCAGACACCAAACTAAAAGATTAAATATGGAAATAATGCTCCCCATAAGTCAGGAAGAAGAGTGCCTAATACCACTTCAGGTTGATACAGTTTAAGCCACAGCCAGGGACAGTTAGGCAACAAAAGCATGAGAAAGGTACAAGTATTCAAAACAGATCAAATAAAATCTGCACTTGTAGATATGATTCTCTGTAGAAAACACCCAAAGGTCTATGTATGAGTCACTAAAATAAGAGTGAAGCAAGTTTGCTATAAGCTGATCTCCTCAAACAAAGAGAGTATCTATGAGAACCAGCAAAATACATATACTTCTAGTCCTTCTCCAGAAACGTATAGCCTAGTTTAGTTTGAAGTAGCCAAAACCTATGAAAGAAAACCATTCGATGTTGCATAAAAACTCCAAAAGGACTTTTATTTATTTTTTATTTTCAGAGAGAGGGGAAGGGAAAGAGAGAGGGAGAGAAATACCAATGTGTGGTTGCCTCTCATGTGTCCCCCACTGGGAACTGGCCTGCAACCCAGGCATGTACCCTGACTAGGAATCGAACCGCGATCCTTTGCTTCACAGGTCCACACTCAATCCACTGAGCTATACCAGCCAGGGCCAAAAGGACTTTTAAAGCACACAAGGAAAGGAACCAAATTAGAAAGTGCAGGATTGAAACTACAGCTTTGTTAACATCGGACAAACTCAATCTGTTTATGCTTTCTGGGATGAGAGATATGTTTTGCATCTGAACTAGGGTGATGATTATGGAGGTGCATATTTAAAATGGTGTGTTTTACATACATGCTTAACCCAAAGACACAGACAACAGTGTGGTGATGGCCAGAGGGAAGGAAGGGTGAGAGCAGGGGGGCAGGGGGGGAGGTGGGCAAAGGGCAAGGAAAATGGGGACACCTTAATAGTGTAAACAATAAAAATAAAGTAAAACAATAAATAAAATAAAATGGTGCATTTTCATGTGTAAATTAAGTTTTGACACAAAATTATAAAATTAAATATAGTTTTTAAGAGATCATGAAGGAAATTATTACCTACATAAAATATACATTTAAAGACTTTTTGGTCTTCTTAGAAATATGAAATGTAAAAAGAACAGATATATTTAACTATAAAATACTGTGATTCATCAATTAGCACAAAATTCCATTTCATGGAGTCTCTCAATTAACTTTGAACATAAATTATATGGTGAAAGATGTAAAGACTTTACCATATTTGTCTTCAAAGTGCTACCCATTAAAAAAGAATGTTTACAAATTTGTATCAACAATATTTAGTAAATTTTAAGACATTGATCTCTAGCATCCAAAAAACATTAAGAATATATTTGTACAAAGAAGTTACATTTTTAATTTACAGTTGACCTTTGACCAACACAGGTTTGAACTCTGTGGTTCCACTTATATGCAGGGGTTTTTTAAACAGCTTTGTTGAGGTAAAATGAATATATTAAAACTGTAAATATTTAATGTATATAATTTGATGGGCTTGGACATATGAAAACATCACTGACACCATCTCTATAATCAAGGAAGAGACACCTCCCAGAATTCTCCATGTCTCGTGTGTGTGTGTGTGTGTGTGTGTGTTAAGAGCACTTAATGTGACATTAGTGAGATTAAGTCCAGGGTCCAGCAGCTCATGGGTCCCTGCGAGGCACAGGGTTTTGGCACTGTTGGGAAAACAGGGACTGCTGAGCAAAGCTGGTGACAGCAGTGAGGAGAGGAGGCTCTCTTCATGGGGAATAAACTGACCCATCACCTGAAGCCCAAGGCCATCCCAAATTGGGCCAGCAAGCCAGCCAATGGGTTGGCAATGACTGTGAGGTCTGTGAGGCAGGGGCCAGGGACTGACAATGACTGTGAAGGCCCCTGACAATGAAGGCTGACAATGACTGTGAGGTCTGTGAGGCAGGGGCCAGGGACTCTGCGACAGTTCCACCTGCCCAGCTGCCCTGGTGCCTGCTGAGTTGGATCTTAGAGCCTGTGAAGACAACCATGCTCTGCACATGAGCAAATGGGAGATTCCCAAAGTATTGCCTCTAGAATCAAACCCTCTGACCATCCAAGGGCAAATGAAATTTCTCTGAATAATTCTGGAACAGAGGAACAACTATTTAAACCACGTATTCCCAGTGTGCCTTACTAAAAAGTGTACCTCATGCTCACCTGTATTCCTAGCAGAGTCAGCCAGCCAGCCTATTCTTAGAATCACAGCCCAATATGTGATCTTAGAAATATTTCCTCATAGAGAACAGAGATAGATCGCTTCTCAGCCTTTTGGCTAAGATCAAGCGTAGGTATCTGTTCTTGCCAGTTTAACATCTGATACATCCTCCCTCTGAGGATGAAATATTAAGTGGATTTTTGAGCAGGGAGATGGAATAGGAGCTTGCTCTGTCCATGCTGTAAGTACATTGGTCCAGTATTGCAGTACCTCCAGAACAGTGCACTCTCACATGGACAAAAAGAGAAAAAAGGAAAAAAAAGGAAAAGAGCTGGAAATAGATTGTATAGTATTTTTGATGGAAGATTATATCCACTCATATGAGAAATGGTTCCAGAGGAATACTTTAAGCAAGATCCTAAACCCAAATTTATACACAGATTTTTTTCATACTATTTTCAGAGCTACTCAGCTAATGGCTAACTGCGATAGTAACTTTGTTTACTTAGAAAGGCTTTCAACTTATGCTGAGATCAACATTTGTCCCACTAACTGGAAACAAATAGTTTTGAGAGCCATTATTCTTGTTACAAGTTTTGGGACAATCAGGCCATATGGATAGTGGACTATTACCAGCTCTTCAAGGACATAATTACAGTTGAGGACATGAATTTTGCCTATAGAGAAGCCTAGCAGAGAAGACCCGCCTGCCCCAGATAATTCCAAGAATCGATCACTCTAAGGATAAGCATAATTTCTAGGTGATCGTCATCTCAAAATTGGCCATTAGTCTTGGCAGTGGAAGAAAGCACATTCAGTAAGCAGACAGGTCAGATTAAGCCTCCATGCAGCTGTGGAGGCCCGGCCTGGGCCAGGGGACATGCCCCACAGCAAACCGCTTGTTTCCAATGAAGGAAAGAAAGCATTACAGAGACAGTACAGGTGGAATACTAATTGCTACTTACAAAGTAGAACCAGAGAGGCCTTCAGGCGTAAATAACTACCACAGTTCCTCAAATGGCCTTCATGACGGGAAGATGTTCACCGACTCCATGTAGAAACAGACCTCAGGTCCAGGTCCGCTGTGCGGTGGTGCCTGCGGGGCGAGGTGTGCACTCCCGGAGACAATGTGCTGGCCGTGGATGATGCCACTCTGTCATCCAGGACCGCCCTGAGCAGGAGCCGTGGTTTCTCAGTGCATTGCTGCATTTTCCTTCAGATTGGAGACATAAAAACGGCTGAAAAGTATCTTCAAGACATGAAGAAAGTAACAGAAATTGAATGGACTATACATGTTAATAAACAGAGCTTTCCTTCACCTCAGCCAGAATAACTTCGCAGAAGCCCACAGACTCTTTACAGAAGTTTTAAGGAGTAACTCAACAAATGCAGTGGCCAAAAGCAATGCCACCATGGGTCTGCTCTACCTGGGCAACCTCAACATCTCCCTGCAGCAGCTTCAGGTCCTGGTGCAGCAGGACCCCAAGCACTATGTGCAGAGGGTGTGCAACTCGATCTGACCACCACACACGAGCTAGAATCTTCCCAGCACAATGCAGAGCAAGCAGGCTTGGGCCCAGGCAGTTGCCAACAAAGAAGGAAACAGCTTCAACATGCAGTGCCTCAAGCTGGCCTGTATCACTCCTGTTCTGGAAGCACCAGGTCTTTGTAAACTGTACATTGCAGCTAATATATGAATGTGACAGTCTAGGAGCGTGTATCCTTGGTCCAGAGCCAACCAAGGCTGTTGCGCAGTTTGCTGAACTCCAGCCAGTTCAACCCCGCAGCTCTGCACTGCTTGTGATTTGGGGTAAACTTGCCATTAGAATGGTGGTCACAGACAGAGAAAATCCACAGGACACACTGGATCCCTTTTCTCTATTCCTAGAAGCAGCATTACTTGGTTTATTAACTCTGAATATCCTCAGAGAAAAGCTGGAAAATGAAACAAACTATCCTCACACTGTGCATAAGTTACAAAAATGGAAGCACACCCAAAATTAATTATTTTAAAAATCCATGTAATGTTGCTAAATGGGTATTTAAAGGGCTAAATATGGCCTTAAATGCTTTTACTAAAAAACAGGCTGAAAATTAATGAATTAGATCTCCAACTTAAGGATATGACACTGATTTGATTTTTTAAAAAAGTAATCCCACATTCGCGACACTTGTAAAGTTTCTCTCCCACTCTGAAGTTCCCTGTGCAGAAGGTGAAGGCCCATCAGAAGTCTTTCCCAGACCGAAAATATTCACCTGTGAGATCGATGGCGCTTTTCCCACATACTTCCATTCCTAAGGCTTCTCTTCACTATGAGTTCTCACATGTTTCCTATGGAATGAGAAATTACTGAAAAGTTTCCCACAGTCTTTGCATTGGTACACAGTCTCCCCTGAAAGTCCCCTCTCGTGGGCAGTCAGGTTCGAGGCCCTACAATCATGGTTTTTCCACAATCATGGCATTGGTAGGGCTTCTCCCAGAATGGGTTCTCATGTGCACCATCGATGGAACTTCCTTCTTATGTTTCCGCTGCTGTCACTGCACAGTTTCTCCACAGTGTACACTCCCCAGTCAGGTCACAGCTCCTGACAAAGGCCTTTCCACGGCCACAGCATTCATACAGTTTCTCCCAAGTGTATGTACCCTCCCATGTATGACCAGGCTTGAGCTAGATATGAAGAATTTCCCACACTGGTCACACTCATAGTTTCTCTACAGTGCAAGTCCCCAACTGTGTCTGTCCTAAGGGGTTAGGGTGACTAAAAGTTCTCCCATGCTGAAAACATTCAGATGCTTTCTCGCCAGCATGAGACTGAGCATGGATTTTATGGGATGAAGGATGACAACACTTGCCCACATTCTTCACATTCATTGCATTTCTCTCTTATGTAATTTTTTCTTGGGCAAAATAATGTTAGAACTTCTAACGACTTTTCCACACAGATTACATTCATGGGGTTTCTCTCCAGGATGTGTTGGTGCCTGTTGATGAAGAATAAGTGGTAACTGGAAGCTTTCTCATTTTCCTTTCATTCATAGGGATTCTCCCCCAGAAAAAAATCTGCAGTATGGAGAAAGCAAAATCCTGCATTAGAAGTTGCTACCATTCCCAGAGCATGCGTCCTGCTCTTGCCCTCTGTGAGCCCTTTCAAACTGAGTGAGGTGGATGCTCTGCCACAAGGTTCTGTCATACGGCTTATTATATACAGACTTTGTTCTGATCATTGTTGAAACAAAAACTGAATTATGTATCGATATTCACTAACTGAGTCACATTTGTGGATATTCCTACTCGTGGGATTATTCTCACATGAATAATCACTTTACAACGTTTCCCAAATCCATAATACGCAGAGGAGAGACTCTCCTGAGCAATGAATGACCTCTCTTGGCTGGAGGTCACTGGTCCCAGCTGCCTGTCCTTGTGGCTGTACTGTTCTTCCACCTCAAGGCAACCCAGACATCCACTCCAGAAAGCCAGCAAGGAGCCCTGGACAGCCTTTCTCTGTTGCTGCCAGTAGATGGTTTTTCCCAAACTTTATTCTGCTTTGCAATGATCTCTCTAGTTTTAACTTGAAGTCAAGACTTCTCACCTAAAATGAATAGAAGGAAAAAAACCCTAAATTCCTGGAGAAATAAATGATGAAATAAAGGTAATTTTTTAAAAATAAGCCAGGCCCATACAAGTTTGTTTTTTTTTTAGATACTGATCCTAAGCATGAGAAGTCAATGTGACAGTAAAGAATAGACCAGCAGTTAAAGACACATTTTGAGGATTTCACCAATGTAAAGAATTTGACAATGGCAGGAATGAGGGGTGGGAAATGGCAGGTGACTTTCTAAGATACGATTCTGTCAAAAATGAAAGGGGGCAGTTAACAGTCTGAGAGAGAGCATTATCAGACAAGCAAAGTCTGGAAACAGTGGGAAAATAAATAAATGAGTAGGTAGGGACATGTTCCAATAACATTTCATTTGCAAAAGTGAAAATGTTCTGGAAAGAGGAAGCAGGACAGAGTTTTCACTGAGAGCAAAAGAAAGTAGGAGATAAAGAGGAGAGGGAGGAAAGCTAAAGCTTCCCGCGGAAACACACCCCAAGTGGGCTGAGATGATCTCTCAGACAAAATAACATTCTAGAAATTCTCTAACGGGGTTCATTTCACCTAGGGCTCACCTGCACTGGTGTGTTAGAGAATTCTTCTCTTCTGTCAACTCCTCCTGCTCCACCTAAATGAGTACATTGGACTTACACAGATGATACCTGCACATGTAGGAGGGATGTGCAGAGATAAAAAGGAAACTCCTCCCCCCAGAGGGGGGCCAAAACTTTCAGGAGATGGGCATGTGTGACCCCATGACAGTGACTTGATGGTACTCAGGACCCAAAATTCCAACTACTTAATGTCATGCCCTACAGGAATTGGGGATCCTCAGACCCAATTACAGATGCATTTCCAGAACCCCAAGGTTCTAATCAAGAAGAAAATAAAATCAGCATTATGAAGGAATTTTCATTCTCAAGGGGTGACTACAGACCAAAGGTTAGCCACCTACTTTTGTAAATAAAGTTTTATTGGAATATATCCCTGTCTATTTCTGAATTTACCAGCTATGGCTACTTTGGCACTACAATGGCAGCATTGAGGAGCTGCAAAAGAGACCCTGTGGGCCATTAAGGTGAAAATATTTCTTCTCTGGCCCTTTAGGAAAAGTGTGCCTGCCTCTGCTGTGCTCTGTTGCTCCTCAAAGTGTGGGCCACATCTTGGTCCCCAAGACCAAGAATGATTCCTGGAACATAGCAGGTACTTCAGAAATATTTGCATCAAAAATTTGCCAATAAAGGCCCTGGCTGATGTGGCTCAGTGGATTGAGCACCAACCTGTGGACTAAAGGGTCACTGGTTCAATTCCAGGCCAGGGCATATGCCTGGGTTGTAGATCAGGTCCCCAGTGGCAGGTGCATAAGAGGCCACCACACACTGATGTTTCTCTCCCTCTCCTTCTCCCTCCCTTCCCTTCTCTCTAAAAATAAATAAGTATAATCTTTTTCAAGAATCTACCAATAAAGACACAAGGCTGGCCTTACTCACTGAGGCCAGGCTCCCATAGTTCTCCAGCATCATGTCTCTGTACAGCATTTTCTGAGCAGTGCCTATCAATACATGAGTGGATAAATAAAATGTACATACTCTGTTGATACGAATAACATCCTAACCTATAGAGAATTTTTATAAGAGTTTATCAGGTCCAAACTGACAACACGTGCCAGTAAACAAGATCTCAAATGCTCC